TAAAAGTTTTTGTAGTTTATGTAGTTTTCCTACACTGACCCTGGAAAACTAACTTATGTCCATTTTACAAATGGGTAAATCAAGAGTGAAGAAACATGCCCAAGCACACATAACTAATAAGGGATAAAGCTGAACTGAAACTGTAATATCTGAGGACCAGATTTCACAGGTGACCCAGGGGGCCAACCCGCCCTCGCTGGAGTCCAGGAAAACCACTGGCATCTCTCCAAAATGAACCCCTATGATAGTCAAAGATAGAAACATTCTCCCTATGCACTTTACCACATAATTTTACTTTTGTATATTTAATAAAACCATGGCAGTAATCCAGTTTACATAATAGAAGTTATACATGGCCATATTTCAGTATCATATTGCAATTGTGTTCTACAACCAACTCAAGAAATAATAAAGACAATTAACTAGGAAAACAATCATTAAACAAGTTCAATACTCAGAGGTTCTCACACTCAAAAAATACGAGTGAACATTAAGCGTTGCAGTGGCTTGTTAAGCATCAGTCTTCAGATTTCTTAGGGCCTTTACATATTGCAGTGAGAAACTGATGAGTATTACACAGCTCTTGGGTATGGCACTGAAATGACTGCCATCCAAGAAAGACAATAGCCCAACTACCAAAATGTTTAACATCCAGGGCCCCAAAGAGTGAAGGTTCACCCAATAAATTAAGAATCAATTTGTGATAGATTTTGGAAGGAATGCAAAGAGCAATCAACTGATCTGAAGTATATTTTCCTTGTCCTACAGGATATTAAAAGCTGAGTTAGTATTAAACTTGAGAAGACCATCATCACTTTAAAAGTTTAAAATAGGATAAGGGACAGTGTATTACCGTCCTATTGCTGCTATAACAAATCACCTCAAACTTATTGAATTCAAACAAGGCAAATTTATCTTACAGTTCTGGAGGTGAGAAGTCTGAAATGGCTCTCATTGGGCTAAAATTAAGGTGTCAGCAGGGCTGTGCTCTGACTACAGGAGAAGCTGTTCCCTTGCCTTTTCCAGCTTCCAGAAGCTGCCTACATTCTTTGGCTGCATTTTCAAAGACAGCATTGTCCAGTTGATACTTTCTCACACTGTCTCTAACCCTGACTCTCCTGCCTTCCTCTTTTATTTATAAGGATCCTTGTGTTTACATGTAAATATTCCAAGATAATCTCCTCATTTTAAGGTCTTTCACTTAATTACATCTTCAAAGACCCTTTGCTATGTAATACAGATACTCACAGGTTCTGAGCATTAGGATGTCTAATGTCTAATTAGAACATCTTTGGGGGCCCTCCCTACAGCAAATAGCACAGAATATAGTGTCCTGCATATAGTGCACACTACATATGTGAAACTGCACATAACGGTTAGACTCCAAATGTATTCTACTAGTCCATCTGGAATTAAACTGTACCTGTAATCCAGATCCTGGAAAAGGAGCTACAAAAGAAAGCAACGGGGGTAGAACTGGCAGGCCTTTGCAGTAAATTAGATGCAGTCTGCAGGCACAGAGAGTTGGAGTTAACCATACATGCATGGCATACAAGTACTGAATTAATTTTGTTATTCTCCACAGTCCTATTACATATCTTTTCTTAACTATGGTGGTAACTGTGTAAAAGCAAATTCATACTTATTTATGACTGATGAATTTTCATAATTAGAAATCACACATACAGGGCCTCCCTGGTGGCGCAGTGGTTGAGAGTCCGCCTGCCAATGCAGGTGACGCGGGTTCCTGCCCCGGTCCGGGAAGATCCCACATGCCGTGGAGTGGCTGGGCCCATGAGCCATGGCCACTGAGCCTGCGCGTCCGGAGCCTGTGCTCCGCAACGGGAGAGGCCTTGGCGTATTGTAGAACAACAAACTAGAGTGTGAAAATTTAAATTCTAGGTTCCAGAGGCTGAATCTTCCACTTACTCCCTGTGTGCTCTTCGGCAAGTGACTTTCAATTTCTGTGCTCTCAGAAGTTAAAAATGGGGATCGTACATAGCTCTTGCCTGCAGCGTTGCTCTAAAGATATGTAAGTGCCAGAGACATTCTGGGCCACTGTCAGCATTCAATGAAAAGTTAAGTCATTATTGGGTGAACTAAGTCAGTAGCCTTGAGCATCCAGAGAAGAGACGTGCATGTAAAGTTGTAAATTCCTAGTTATCCCATAGAACGTGAAGCAGACTGATACATAAACCTGAAGAAACTTGAGAATGACGGTCACAAATAGTTAAGTTTTAGCACAACATTTTGCACAAATACTAGTTATCATAAGATGCAAAATGCCAAAGCTGCTCCAGTAGTATTTTGGCAAAATACCAGCTAGAAATAGTGCAACATGGCAAAAACTTGTTTCTCCTGTGAAGGGGCTCTAATGGGAAATCGAGTTAAAATAAAACAAAACCTGCCCAAAGAGACACCACATATACATCATGCACTGTGTTGGCCAAAGGAGTAACAGAAGACCACTTCCAGTACCAGAAATTTTGAGAGTCATTTCTTTAGAAAATCAATTAAAATCTATTAGCCCCTTGTCTGATTTTTAAGCAGAATACCATCTAACGTCTAACTTCAGTCTCCACTGAAGTGTACTGGTTGGCTTTTTCATACACTACATAAAGGGCTTCAGCCTACACTGCTTTCCGATTCTAAGTTTCTGTTTTTCCTGCCTCATCCTTTCCGGCTAGGCCTTCAGTGGTTCCTAATGGCGTTTCTCAACTGCAGTCAGTCTTTCCTAGAGCTGAGGTATGTGAGCTTTAGCACAAGGATTACGTACATTCACCCACGTCTCTTTGCACTTCCTTCTCCATATATTCTAAATGTAAAAGATGATTAGGTAACCAATTTGAAAAAGAGGAGAATTGTAGTTTTATCCAAGCTCAATACTATCTCAAAGGATCTTGGGAGAGTTTGAAACGTCACTAAACAACCGTAAGCATCATATATAATTACTGCTTAATCTAAAGTGACAAAAAAGGTTAAAAAGGCTGGCAGAAACTTCTTTCCACACTAGACAAATGAACTATAAGGAAATTAAGACTGCAGAGAGAATGTCAGAAAAAAATAAATAAGTAATGCTGTTTTTTTCACTTACGTTATTTAAAAGAAATTAAAAATGGGAGTACAATTATTTCTGGCAATATCAAAAGTGTAAATTCTTACCAACTCTGCAGAACAATACCAATTAGGCTTCATGTAGCTGTGTTAAAGCAGATTAAAGGAATGGGTAAACCTGTACCCAAATAGTACTAATTCTTTGCTAGGATTTTAATTGATTATCTCACTTTTCTACCTTAGTTAGTAATGGTGGTGAAGTCCTTTTAAAAAAGGTTATACATAATAAAGCTGTTTCTGTGTCTAGTAAATGAACTATGGTTACAAAGTACAATGCCAAGATAGTTAAAAATAATTCTCTATAGGACAAATGATTTCCCTGGGCACTGTTCATGGAATCATCCGTTCTGTAATGAGCTCTTGGATGAGGCTGGGGTAAGACGTTTTCTTCTGGCCCTACTTAAACCTGCCACATTTCAGCTTTTCATTTTAATACACTGGACTTCAGTGACATTGGAGATGGGAGGAACTTTTTCATTAATAAACAACCCAAATACCTAGAGTATTTCTAAGGAAGAAGGTAGCTGTAGAGAAGAAAAAAGTAAAAAAGGGAAAAACAGAAGTGAAAGTCCTCCTCTTGTGTTATGAAGGTAAATACATTATTTACCATGAGACCAAAAAATAAGTGTGCATCAAAATCACAAACAGCAAGAATCAACTGTAGAGAGGAAACTTTCTTTTTTGTTCTAACTCAAGTGTTCTTTGAGAATCGAGTTTGGATAAAATATTGTACCAGATATTATTAATACAAGGATCAAAAAGGAATTAGTATCTCCCAGTCCGTGTCCTCTAGGAGCTTACAATCTATTTCGGGAGATAAGTTGCTTATGAAATGGCTAATTAAAATGCAAAGCAAATGAGAGTTGAATTCCAACAGAAAACAGGGAAAATAAATGTATAGAATGTCTGCAAAGACTCATGTAAATTTCAACGGTCCAAAAAGATCTTATGGGAAAGGAAAAATGCAAATTTTACCTAAGTTCAATAAAGCAGTTATTTATATTCCAATCCAGTTGATTAAAACACAAAAAAACCCATACCCCACCGCCCCGAGATCGCATAAAAATACGGAGAAACATGTTTACAGACTTAAATTAGCCTAGTACTAACAGCCTAAGGATGCACAGCAGAAGAAACTTAGAAGCAAGGATCTTTCAGGGAAAGCTGCAGTTCAATTCTGGAGAACACATTAGCCAGTGATCAGAGAGCCCAACACAGATGCAGTAAAAAACGATATATCTCAACAGCATAAGCCAGTGTATTGCATCTAAAGTGTTTAGTTGTACACCTTTTTCAGTTTAGCATCAGAAGATTAATGCCATTAAAACAAGGTAATTGCAATGGGATTATTCACAAGTGGCAAAACATGTTCAAACTTTTTGAAATATTCAAGTCAGCGTTTTTCACTGTAGCAATAAAAACAAAAACTACCACTCAAGAAGTTGCTTGCCAGCTACTTTAAGGAAAATCTTCACCACAGTTCTTCACAAGACTTTGCTCTCCATTGTATACTCTCCTTTGAAACACATTCAAATCCCAGGCATTAAGCTGAATATTAATGGGCCAAGAATAAACTCCAGAGCCAACAATGACAAAGAGAACTCCAGCAGCTTCAGAGCCTGACACTAATTTACTGAGGCGTATCAGGAACTCTTGGGAATGAAGTGTCTGCTAATTAGGCCACCATGAACAGACTCCCAAACCTTGACAAAGTTTTTCCCAGCATCTGATGATGAACTGTGATTTATGGGCTGTCTAGGTAAAACTCGAACAGATGGTATCTTTTAACAATAATTGACACATGAGTTTGTTAAGGATCTCAATCTCTGGAAAAACATGTGGCTCTATAGAGGAAAACAAAGAAGAACATTTTTAGAGTCATCTACCTTATCTTTGTCTTCAACGACATCTGCCAAGACATCATCTGGATCCAGGATTCCTCCATCTGTGTATTCTAAGTGATGAATCTTCACCCAGTACCCAGGATCCTGTGGTAGAATAATCAAGAAGTTTCACGACTAAAACTTTTTTTAAAATGCAAAATATATTTTAAAAATAGACTCCTTAAAAATATGCTCTAGCAATAATAAAAGTTTTAAACACCTAAAACAAATGTTATCTGTTTATTGGGATAAATTTGTGGCAGGTTTATCCTGCTTAACTTAAGTCAGTAAATCGATGTATACATATTTTATCAGTTTTCCTGGAAGATGAATTGCAATGGAAAAATAAATTGCCCCAGCCATTTGTAAAGCATATTCAAGGAATTCTGAATAACCTTCGCTTTAGGTAATCCCAAGAATAATCTGGACAAAGAAAGATATTCTCAAGGGTACTTTCTGAAATTGGGGATTAGAAATTCAAACAGATTCCTAAAGCTGTAGGAAAAAAATCAAAAGGCAGAAATCTGTGATGGTAATAGCTATCACCTCGGATATACAAATGCAATGAGAGGACCAACACCCTCTTCAACTCTTTTTATCTCTGTGCTGTGCACATATTCTCAACTCTAAGATTAGCAATGACATCTGGAGCAAAAACTCCAGCATTGATTTCCAGTCCCTGAAGCACGGCAGCAGCTAGAACAATGTTCACAGTCAAACAGGGGCGGAGGGTGGTGGGCATCATTGAATTGGGGTAGTGATTTAGGAGATTTCCAAGTATTGCTTTTTAAAAATTGCTTAGGAGTGTAAAGCTTAAGGAAAGGAATTACTTTCTCAAAATTTGATATGTAGCTAGATACTCTGCTCTGATCCAGCTCAGTTACTTACATACTGCCTATTTCTGGAAAAGATATGAAAGTGAACCATTATGACAATAAGAACATGAATCAATGAATGAAGAAAAACATTAGTACAGTTTTTACCAGACTACCCAAGCTATAATCAATTTGGTTCTGTGATGCTCAGAAAGTCCCTCAATGTGGGAAACTTTTGAGCTATGAGCACCCAGTATCCACTATAGGAATAGATACCAGTTTGTGAGAAGACATAACAGTCTTCCTGGGATAAAGCTCTAAACCTTTACTACATGAATCTTTGTAAAGGGTAAGCCCTAAAATAACCCTCAGAATTCAATTGTAATTTTAGAAAAACTAATAGAAATGGTTGCTATTTAGCCTTCTCTGTAGCTGTCCCCCAGTAAAAGGTAAGGACATACTATTAAATAATAATTTTTTTAAATTTTATTGTGTTTTTTTATACAGCAGGTTCTTATTAGGTATACATTTTATACATATTAGTGTATATATGTCAATCCCAATCTCCCAATTCATCAATAATAATTCTTTTAAAGCAACTATTTGGAGGGCTACTGATATGTGGCTCAAGTACACAGCTTTTCAGTAATCAACTTGATAAAGCGATAGCCTTAAAAAATCTGAAGGAATCCTCCTTAGGTAATCTTTCAACATTTCAAAATTAAGTTTTCTATAGAGCATCTAAAGAGCTCTAAGATTCCAAGTAGAATGAAAGGAATTTATTTTGTTTCTAATACTAGGCTTATAGGTGGAAACACTAATGATTTATTAGGAAACAGCCCAATTCTATTTTGCCCACATAGAGATCACAAAGATATAAGCAGTGACTATACAACCAAGTAAGAAAAGCATCCATAGCTCTGATTCTTTAATCAAAGAGCTTTGCCAACACAAGGATAATTGTGCTATGAAAGGTAAGCTAAGTACAGCAGACTAGATTCTAAATAGTGAAGATACTCTGGTAGACGAAACACTGGAATATACAGAAAAGAGAGCAAAAGAAAACTGCCCCCACAATCTTTGGGAATTGTTATCTTTTTTAGTCTGGCCATGCTACGAGCAATGTACTTCTCCAAATCTACGCAGGACTTCTGGCTGAAACCTACAGAATATTGCATTTTTCCTTATAAAAAATTCTTCTTACACAGTGTTCCATTTCATTAATTTCCACTGAGTTGGGTTCTGATATATTATAGCTCTACAGATGAAATCTGTTGATTGTAACCATGTTTATAAAAGGTGATGTATTCTAAAGAGTGTGCTTTTTTATATTCAGTTTTTTAAAATCAGACATCAAGTTGTCTACTTTCTTCTCATACTATTTGGGAAAGCAGATTTTATCACCTGAGACTAAGGTAAACCCCCAACAATTGCAGTATAAGGTATACCTCTCTTCCTTCCCAGAGAGATGAAAACCAAAGACTCAGATTTAAACTAGGGAAGCTCAGGAAATAACGGGGGACAGGATCTGATCAGTGGCAAAGGGAACAGCAGACAAGTGGCAGCAAGATGGGTTGTTAAGTCACATAGCATTCCTCCCTCACACACACTTGTAGGATCTAAGACCTGGAAAATCAGGCACAGGAGTTAAAACTAAGATATTTATCTCCAGTTTTGATTCAAAAGAGTACAGAACTTAAGTTTTAACAAACTTATAATCAAGTGAAAAAGTAATCTGATACATTTTGGAATCGTATATTCAAATTCAATCTGAAAAAAAAATTTAAGTGAGCTACATGGTGCCAGAACATAAAAAGACTCTTTGCAATTTTAACTCTGTTCTACACTGGAATGTATAAAATGGCTTTATCAAAGGAAAGAGTAGGCCAATGAAGAGCACGTATCTAACACTGAACAAAAACTGACAAGCTGTATGAAAGCAGTCTCAGAGTTAATATTTCACACATCAGGAGAGGTATATCAACACAGTATGTACCAACTGTGATTTTGTCCCCATGGCGTTTTGGCCATGGTGCTATAGATCACTTTAAGAAAGGATACACAAGATTAGCAGCCAACAAGCTATCATAAGACCATAAATTTACCCTGACTACTTTATGCATGTAAAAATTTCAACCATTACATCACAGTCAACATTTTGCATTTCATTTACTTGGTTTTATTACCACCATGAATAAAACTGATCAAACATGAAAAGATGCTCACATATATGTCATGGTTCACCCAATTAATCACTTGGAAAAGTTTACTCTATTTTTCATAATAGTGACATTTAATCTACCTTTATATTGTACAAATAACTATAATATGCATAACTTTTAAATTATTTTGAAAATATCTAAAGTATGTGTGCTATGCAATAAATCGTATTACTTACACTCCTAGATCATTTAAGTATTGAAAAATAACATAATATACATTATGTTTCCTCTACTTCTGATAGTATCTTATCTATTTTTTTAAGTAATGCACAGTTAACTTAAACCCTACTGGAATTTGAAAACTAAAAATAGTCTACAAGGATGAATTGGAAAATGGAAAAAAAAAAAAAAAAAAAGGTATGCACTATGGAAAGAAGAGAGTTACAGGGTACTTTTAATGATCAATGTAGAAATTGTTCCAAACACGTATTAACATTAACAGCAACAAATATCTTTCACTGTGGGCAGATGACATAAAATTTGACCCCATACCCTAGAAAATGTATAGTACCCAAAGTTTCAAAGAATAGTAAACTTCCATCTGCAATACGTAGAGTAGTAGACTGGAAAGACAGATACGACAATGTTGTGACTACGAAGCACTGAGATTATGTCAATGATCAAGAGAGGGTTTCTCGGCAAAATGCCTCTGGTACAAGAGAAAAGTAGCCTGCGTGGCAGCAAGGTCCCAAAGTGAGGAGGCGAGTGCTGTGAAGGAAAAGCCAAAAGGTGGCAAAGGGCTGTGTTTATGAGTGGGCTGTGTTTACAGTGCTCAATAATGTAACTAGCTTCTTGGTGGCTGCATGTTTTCACAAGAAAAGTCTTACCCACTGGAACACAAGAATAATTATAAAATGGAAGTTAATAGAAAATTAGAATTTTCCTTGTAGAATTTAACTTCATGAACTTGGTGGGATGTATCCATAAAATGAGATTTCACCATTTTCATCATTATCTTCATCATTATAGCAGATCATTTGTTTTAGTGCTTACTACAGGCCAGGTGCAATAGGTACTGCGTGTTTTATACGGTTAACTCATTTATCTTCCAACAGCCTCATCAAATAGTTATCAACCCATTTTACAGATGAGGAAAACAAGGCATGAGTAGGTGAACTGACTTACCGAAGGTCAAATGCTTCCTAGACAGCAGAGCCAAGGTGCAATTTTTAAACATAGAAAATCTTTTAGATTAAAGAACGTAACAAAAAACACAATTACCCAAGAAGGGGATCAGATCCATTTCTATCTACTAAGTATATGGATCCACGCAAGTCGTCATTACTCTGGGCCTCTGTTGCTTCATCATTAGTGAACCTGGAGGCTCTATGGCCCTCTGCATAGGGCACCACACGGAGGTCAGAGCGTAGAGGACACAAAGGGGCAATAAGGGAAGGCCCCAAAGCCTTTGTGTTAGTGTGTCCAGTGTTTCACAAGTGAGAGAAGCTTCAGAACATAACTGCTCATAATCATGAAATCAAAGGTTTGGGAAGCAGTGGGAAAAAAAAAAAGAGTAGAAAGGGAGATTGAGGTGTCAGGTTGGATAGAGAATTATGAAGTTTTTATGTGCATGCACATTTTAACTAACTACTTCTATCATAATCCTCTGGGGTTACTCTCCCTTCTACCCAAGACCAAAAGAGAACCAGATGCCCCAGAAGGCACCCAGGAAACACAGCAGTCAGAGCAGGACTGGAGACTATTGGGACAGGCAGAGAGCAGGAGTCTCTGAATAACCAACCACAGACAGTATAGGGAAGAAGAGTTCCCAAAAATGATGCCTGAGCAAAACCTAGCAGAGCAGTACTGACACCTGAAAGGAAAGAATTAAGCCAGAAAGAGCAGTACTGACTACAGAGATTATTATGAGCTGGCCCTGACTTCAGAACAGGCCTCCACCTTACTGAGACAGATCAAGCACAAACTTGAGAAAAGATTAGGAGAGGAATATGAGCTGATGCCACTTTAATCAAGTATGTTTCCAAAGAATCCAGGAGAACTAGAATGGGACCAAGGGTTTTTATGCTGGGCTGCAAGTAATAATACCTGGTGAATTCAACAACAGAATTATAAACTTCAATTTATATATAAAGTGAAGGTGAGTCAATCAATCTGTAAGTTCATTTCCAGTTTTAAAAATCTATGATCCTACAAACAGAAACTTGACACTGCCATGCTAACATCAGATAAAGGAGACTTTAAGAAATATTACTAAAGGTAAAGAGGGACATTTCTTAATGATATAAGGATCAATCCAACTGGAAGAGAACAATTCTAAATCTGCATGTACACAACATAACTTCAATACATATGCTGCAAAAATGGACAGGTATTTAAAAAATACACAAATTCACAATCACAGTGGGAGACTTTTGATAGGAAATAAAAGTCAATAAAATATAAATCATCTGAACAGCACAATTAACAAAGTAACCTCATCTATTTATATCACATATATACAAAACACTATACCACAAAAGACTAGAAAACACATTCTTTACAAGTACACATGGAATATACACCAAATTTCAGAAGTCTGGAATCACTGAGAATATGATCTCTGATCACAGTGGAATCAATTACAGAGAGAGATCTCGAAAATGCCTGGCTGTTTGGAAATTAAGAAATAAAGTTATGAATAATACATAGATAAAAAATAAATGCAGTTAGAAAATAGTTTATAACTTAAAAATAATTAAAATAAC